AGGTCCAGCCCACTATGGGTGGTGCCACCCCTTAGCCATGGGTCCTGGATTCTCTAAGAAAGCAGGCTGAGCAAACCAGTGAGCAGCACTCCCTCCCCCGTGGCCTTGGCCTCTGCATCAGCTCCTGCTTCCTGGTTCTTGCCCTGTTTGAGTTCTTGTCCTGAATTCCTATGATGTAGAAATGTAAGTTGAATAAACCTTCCCTCCCCTACCTTGATTTTTGGTCACGGTGTTTCATCATAGCGATAGAAACTCTAACTAAGACAGTCACTATGACTAAGTAAAAGGATTGTGACTGCTGTCCCTGGAATGAGGAACCAGGTCACAGGTGCAGGGCTGAAACTTGGCTAGGCTCTAGGTTTTCTCCAAGGATAGGCTCTGCTCTGGAAGTCATGGGGAACACAATCAACTAGCTGTTCCAAAGTGGAGGAGGAAGAGGGCCTGGGCTAGGAGCCAGAGTTGGCCCAGAGCCCAGGAAAACAATCTGGCTCATGAAGGCACACAGGCAGGCCCAACAGAGCAAGCGGTCACCCAGTAAGGCCTGGGAGTAGGAATCTGGGCCCTGGTCTGGCATGCTCAGATATGCCCAAAGCCCCTGGCCCACATTGCCAGGGCCTGTCTCTGATTCATGAACCCAGGCAAGCTCCCTATTGCTTGGGAACCAATGCCCTCTCCACAGTAAGTATGCTCACTCACTACCTGAGGAGAGATGAACAAGTATCTGTTTGACCCAGATAGGTCAGTGATGACAGACCAAAGGAAGGCTACTACATGAGCCTAGCTTGGTGGGGAATGGGTTTTCTGGGGTTACTTGCAGGAGCATGAATAACACAACAGTCATGGCCTTACTGCAAGACCCATGTGTCTTAGGGTTTCTATTGTTGCCACGAAACACTCTGACCAAAAACACAATCTGGGGGAGAGGGAAGGTTTTATTTGGTTTCCACTTCCACATCACTGCTCATCACCATAGGAAGTCGGGACAAGGACTCAGGATAGGAACTCACACAGGGCAGGAACCTGGAGGCAGGAGCTAATGGAGAGGCCACGGAGGGGGGCTGCTTACTGGCTTGCTCCCCATGGCTTGCTCAGCCTGCTTCCTTATAGGACCCAGGACCACCAGCCCATAGATGGCACCACACACAATGGGCCCTCCCACCCTTGACCACTAATTGAGAAAATGCCTTAGAGCTGGATCTCAATCAGCATAATGTCATCAATATAGCGCACCAATGTGATATTTTGTGGAAGAGACAGACGATCAAGATACTTTCTAAGTTATAACATAGGGCAGGAGAATTAATTTATCCTTAAGGCAAAACTGTAAAGGTATACTGATGGCCTTGCCAACTGAAAGCAGATTGCTTCTGAAGGTCCTTATGGACAGGTACCAGGGAAAAAAAAAAAGCATTTGCTAAATCAACAGCTGCATACCAGGTACCAGGTGAGGTGGTAACTTGCTCAAATAAGAACACTACATCTGGGGGCTGGTGAGATGGCTCAGTGGTTAAGAGCACTGACTGCTCTTCCAGAGGTCATGAGTTCAAATCCCAGCAACCACATGGTGGCTCACAACCATCTGTAATGATATCTGATACCCTGTTGTGGGGTGTCTGAAGACAGCTACAGTGTACTTACATATAATAAATAAATTTAAAAAAGATATTTAAAAAAAACCAAAAAAACAAAAAAACACTACATCTGGTACAGCAGCTGCAATCGGAGTTACTACCTGAATTACTTTTCGATCATCAATTCTTATTCTCCATGATCCACCTGTCTTCTGCACTGGCCAGACAGGAGAGTTAAAGGGAGATGTGGTAGGAACCACCACCACCTCTGCATCTTTCAAGTTCTTGCCGGTGGCACTAATTTCTGCAGTTCCTCCAAGGCATGTGATATTGTTTCTGATTCACTTCATCCATTTAAGCCCTTCTCAACAGCGTAGTTCTCATTCCACAAGCCAGATCTGTCACAGCAATGCTCCCACAGTTCTGGTACCAACTTTCTTAGGATTTCTATTGCTACAACAAAACACCATGGCCAAAATGCAAGTTGGGGAGAAAAGGGTTTATTTGGTTTACACTTACATATTGCTGTTCATTCTTGGAGGACCGGAACTCAAACAGGGCAGGATCCTGAAGGCAGGAGCTGATACAGAAGCCATGGAGGAGTGTTGCTTACTGGCTTGCTCTCCCTGGCTTGCTCAGCCTGCTCTCTCTTACAGAACCTAGGACCACCAGCCCAGGGACAGTATCACCCACCATGGTCTGGGCCCTCCCTCATTGATCACAAAATGAAAAAAATGCCCTACAGCTGGATCTCATGGAGGCATTTCCTAAACCGAGGCTCCTTCCTCTCCTCTCTGATGATTGGAGCTTGTATCAAAGTGACACAAAACCAACCAGTACCCCATCCTAGCATGGATGTCCACATACAAAAGCTGCATCCTGTAGGAGCTCTCTATACAACTTGTAGGCACCTCTGCAGACTGACCCTCTGGCTGAAAGAGTTAGCTAGTATTTTAGCCTTAGGGAGGGGCTTTTAACTTTTTATTTAGTAAGTTTCAGGTGTTTCCTGTGCCTTACAGGTCTCCCTCTTACTTGCGAGATGGAATGATTCTTTCAATCTGAAGGGAAGACTTAGACAATAATGGCCCCAACGCCAGTCCTCACTTAGCTTCAACTCCTGCCTTGTGCCAGCTCCACCTTCACCTCCTAACACAGGAGAGCCCTGAGAGCTGTCTTGAGACCGTGGTTCCTGGAAATGAGGGGGTAGCAAGAGACCAGATGCAGAACCCTCCAGCATCACAAAGCCTTTCCTCTGCTTAGGGCACCAGTGGAATTCGAGATCACTTCAGAGAGTCTTTCCTGTATTATCCTTGTAGGGCAGCCTGGGATCCTGTGGACCTAACAGTGGTCTCAGAGAGGAAGAGAAAACCAAAGGTATCTAAGAGGGTGGTCACACGCCAGACATTCTGGCCTGAAAGGCACAGAATAAGCACCAGAGCATCAAGTTCACTGAGATGGGCAGGTTGTTAGGATCCCTGTCCTGTCAAAGTGATACCTGCTGTCATACTTAAAGAGTTGCATCACGTCAGCTGTGAGCTCTCCTGTGAAGAACTTTCTAGTTCCCGGGATTCAAAGGTGATGCCCAGAGAT